ATTTTACAATGCAAGGTACTGGGTTTTGTTACATTCCTTTAAGAAATGTTGGATCTTGTTTTAGTGTGTAGTTAAATTATTTTGCACTAGTTAAATCCTTTCAAAGCTTTGTTTTTAAGCATCATTAAGGTATGTTCAGAGAAGTCTTTACCCAGGGTAATTTAGCCCCACTGCTAAAATAATAACTTTATTATTAATTTATTTATTATTGATAATCTTGTGAGAATTCCACCTGAAACCCCATGTGTGATGACGTCTTTTCACTCCAACTGATGGGAATATAAACTCTTCACAGTTCTGTGTGAGCCACAAAGGAGAGCATTCTCTCCTTTGGTGGCTCTTTTCTCAGGCTCAGATTGTTTCCTCACACATGTATGTAGGTCAGTGCTCAGCAAAGACTCTGAGGATCTCTTTGCATGTCATTGAAGGTTTCTTTCTGTACAGTGCCCTCCTCTCAGGTGTTTTATCTTGCACTCTGATCTCCTCAACCCAGTGAGGCCTTCAGTCCAGTCTTCTGGTGATGAATTCTCTCAGCTAACTCTTCTGCCGCTCCCATATTGCATCAGTTCTTAAGGATGCCTTTAGATACCTATCCTTTAGACAATAATCTGATGAGTAGAGGTCATCATTGTTACTTGTTTTCTTTCTTTCAGGCATCATCATCCCGTACTACTAGCTGTAAAATGTTTTAATCCCTCATTTCACATACTTTGTCCAATTTAGCTTGTTGTTCAGTATCTGATGATACATCTAGTCCCTATTACTTTATATGGACCAGAAGAGAGAACATGATACAGCTACTTTTGAAAAAAATTGCTCCTTTAAAGCTAAATCTATTCAAACACTAAGACCCAGCAATTCCACTCCTAGGAATCTTTTCAAGATAAATGAGAACACTTGCTCATAAAAACACTTGTATGGAAATTTTCATGACAGCTTCATTCATAATAGGCCAAAGGTGGAAACTACTCAAACTGCAATCAACGTGAAAATGTATAAACAAATTGTGGGATTTTAATACAAGGAATATTACTCAACAATAAAAAGGAATAACTTACTGACATACATAGCAACAAGAATGAATCTCACAGATATTATGCTGAGTGAAGCAGGATACAAATTAGATTACTACCTAACCTATGATTGCATTTACATGAAGTTCAAAAGCAGACAAAATTAAGTCATGGTGAAAAAGAATTAGAAAATGATTGTCTCAGTGGCGATTCAGTGAAAAGTAATAAAAGAGAATGCTCTTGTGTGATACAAATGTTCTCTATATTTATAGAGGGGTGAGTTATGAGTTTATGCATATGTAAAAAGTCAGCAAACTTTGAATTTAAATGTATATTTTATTTTATATAAACTTTCCCTAAAAAGCACTGTAAATGGGTGATAACTTTTAGTTATTAGGATTGTTTTTCACAGTGAGAGGAACTAGCATTCTAAAATTACTTGCTATAGTTTATGTACATTTCTGTATAGTCTAGGCTTGCCCTCATGATTAACTATATTGAGAACAATGGGAGCTAGATTTCTCACTGTTGGAGAATAAAGTTGTAAGTATGGAAAGGAGGGAGACTAAATTCTACCCTGTGGTATTAGAGTATAATCGTAAGCATCAGAGAAAATCTATGGTTTCAAATGTAGGAATCAATACAGGAATAATCTGCATATCCACTGTCCATGGCTGAAGAAGCAATGACATATCAATGTCATTGACAAAGATCTAGCACTCACCTTGATTTCTAAACATGATTCTCCATGAAAAGAAAACAGATTTCCTTGGAAAAAAAAATGATTTTAGAGTTAGTATAGGGAAAGTACAAGATCATCCCAGAACATCGTATTGAACCAGAAAATCACAAAGTGCTCAAAGAATGATGAATGATGCAGCTATGTCAAGAGGACATAGGATACAGTTTGATGGAGTTCCTACTGGTCAAATCTCAAACATTTTGATCATAAAAATAAATATTGATAGTAATGGATTATATACTATGGTATGCTGGTAAACTGGCTCTCCATAATGGAAAAATAAAGAAGCCCTGGTTGGCAGTATTTGCTGATTTCTATGTTATAAATACTCCATTATGGGTGATTTTAAGCTACCAACATTATGCCAATGCACATAGACTTAAGAAGAGTTGCCTAAACGTGGTTCTCATGAGTAAGTGAGCTGGCCATAAGATACCAGTTAGAACTGTAGAAAAAAGTAAGGATACATAAATGTATACATATTATCAATAAATGATTAAATTACTTAATGGAGGAGAAAGGAAACGTTTGCTTATGGTGAAATATCAACTAATATGGAAGAAATGATGGAGTTGAAAATAATCAATGGATGCCAAAACTAGCAAGGAAAGTTTTAACAAAGAGCTCTAAATGTACACAATCTGGAAAAAAAAAAATCACTCTAAAATTACTTAGTATTTACCAAAAAGAACATCTGTGTAACTTCACAGTAAAGAGAGCTAATGGAGTCCACTTGCTTTATTAGTTTCAATTTCCAACACATATGGCTTAGACTATATAACGAAGTACTCAAGGTCAGTATCTTCAGTATTGAGACAGACTGACATTATGTACCTCCTATGAGAATGTACACCTGCTGAATCATTCAGGATTCTCCAGAGAAACAGGACCAACAGGATATATTTATACAAAGAGATGTATTTTAAGGAACTGGCTTATGTGGTTGTGGGCGTGGCAAATCCAAATCTGTAGAGCACGCAGGCAGGCTGGAAACTCAGGTAAGGTTTCTACGTTACAGTTTTGAGGGAATCCTTAGCTTTGCTTTTAGGCCTTCACTATTTGGATGAGGTCCACTCATATTATTGAGGGTTCTCACTTTGTCTAAAAGTCAACTGATTCTAGATGTTTACCACATCTACAAATTATTTTCACAGCAACCTCTAGATTAGTGTTTGACCTGACAAATGTGGACCACAGCCTAGCCAAGTTGACACATAAAATTTAACCATCCCATCTGCCGAAAATTCGTAATCTGAATTCAATTATAAAAATAGACAAATAGAAATGGTGCAACGTTTTATGAACTAACAGGTCTATTGTCTTCTAAGTGTCGAAATAAATGACAAAAAGAAGACTAAGAATCTGATTTAGATTAAAGTAGACCAAAGAAACATGACAATTAAACATAATCTAGGATCCTGGATTTTATGTGGTGTTGGATAAAAAAAGTTCCTGAGATAATTGATGAAATTAGATTATGGAATGCAGGTTAAGTAATTTTCTAATTTTGACTTATTTTGCTGTGGTTGTGGAAGAGAAAGTCATCATTCTCAGGAAGTACTCACTGAAACACTAGAGATAGAGTGTGCACAGTATCTCCTTCTCCCTAGATAATATCTGAATCGTGGAACCTGTAAACATATTTTCTTACATAGCAAAAGAGACTTTGCAGATGCAATTAAAAATAGAAAAATGAAGAAATTATCCTCGATTATCATGGTGGGCCCAATGTAATCACAAGGTTCTTAGAAAAAAGAAAGAGGGAAGAAGGAGAAGTGGAGGCAGAGACTAGGAGATTAGAAGAGAGGCTGATTTCAAAGTGATGCAAATGGTGGCTTGGAAGATGGAAGGGGCTACAAGTCAAGGAATCCAGGCAACCTTGAGAAATTAGGGGACTGAGACAGCTTCTAGAATGAGGAAAGGGTAGGGAGCAGATTCTCCCAGACCCTCCAGAAGACCTGCTGATACATTTTTTCAGCCCCAGAAATCTCATTTTGGATTTCTGAATTCTAGAATGTTAAGATAAGGAATTTGTGGGGATTTTTTTCTTACTTTTCCATGTACATTTTATTTTTAATTTTTAAAAATTTTAGATTCAGAGGGACATGTGCAGGCTTGTTATATGGATATATTACATAAAGGTGAGGTTTGGACTTCTAGTGTACCCATCACCCAAATAGTGAACATTGTACCAACTAGGTACTTCTTTTAACCCTCGGCCTCTCCCATGCTCCCCACTTTTGGAGTTCCCAGGATTTATTATTCCCATTTTTATGTCCACATGTAGCCATTGTTTAGTTCCCACTTATAAGTGAAAGCATGCAGTATTTGAGTTTCTGAGTTTTGTGTTACTGTGGCAATAGAAACCTACTACACACTCAACGGTTTCGAAAAAGGTATGCATTTGTCTGAAACTATATATAAAGAGACAAAAACACAAAAACAGACAAAGCAGACATAAAACATTAGCAAATTTTGGTTAAAAGTCTCTGGGAGTTCCTCATAGTATTACAAATTGTCTTTGAAGCAATGCTAAAACAAAAAGTTACAGAAAAGTACAAAAAAGATCTGTGGCTTTAAAAAAAAAAAAGATAAAGAAATGTTTACAGTTAAATTGACGGAACGGATAGAATTTGCTTCAAATAAACCAGGAAGGAGGTATGGATGGGGAACTTCGGATGAGCGCTTGTTAGGTAATGTGTAAGAGTTTTGAGTGTACTATTTTTGTCTGTTTTTGCATTTGTTTCAGATTCTTCTCAAAATATTCAAAAACAGGATCATTTTATGTAAAAATCGGTGGAAGGGAAAATGATGCAATACTAACATTTCATGTAACCATCAGTCTAGCTGAGCAGTTGGCAGCCTCTACTGAAAAGAAAAAATTGGCATGAACTCTAGCAGTTTGGTGTCCTATCAGTTTAATGTATTTTATTTACTTGAACGGACAAACCAGGAAACAAGAGGCTTTTCTCTGATTATGTCAGCCAGCAGACGTTAACCTTTCTCTACTGTGAAGGCTACTTTCTCAGTTTCTGCACTTCGTTTGGCTTTTTGTTTGTTTTCGTAATCGTAGGCGCGACCAAAAGTGTTTAGAGCACTCTGTTGAAAATGGCAGTATTTGAAGAAACTGGATGTCACTTAAAATATGATCCTTGGATAAACATCACATGCTGCTGGCCTTCTTACAAAATGAGTAAGCACTGACTGTCTTTCTGGCTGCCAAAGCCACTTTGATTTTCCTGGAGCCCTCTATCTAGCAGGTAGTTTGAGGGGACTATGGGAAGGAGACAAATATCATACATTTGGATTATCATCTTTATTTGCTTCACTTGCCCTCTTTTTTGAGTAAAGGAGTTAAGGACATGCTTCTATACAATGAAAAACAAACTAAAATTATTCAGAGAGTTAACCTAACTTTTTACCCTTCCCCAATGAGACATACAAATGAGAGCTTGCATTTCTTGGCCAGATCCGTTGAATTTAAATTTTCCATTAACATATAATAGGTTTAGACTATAAATCCCTTTGAGCGTGGGAATCAGTGAGGAAAAACGACACTCTGTAAGCTATTGCTCAAATAAGCTCAAACATTTATTTTAGAACATACCGTGCCTGTAAAGAGAAAGATAATACATTTTATGTGTGTCAATTTTTTAAAAAAAAAACAGCAAGATTTTTTAAAAGCCATTTTATCTCTGAGAGATTCAATGACCATATTTGATGACAAGCCAGATGGCAGCATTCTCTAGACCCGGTGCCAAGACGCATGACAGGAGTCGCAATTTACCTTCCGTGGTGAGGCTAGCTGCTGAAGCACACCACAGCTGCGGGCGAGCGGGCTGCTGCCGGTAGGTGCAAGCACAGTTGGTTCCCTCCCAACTTGGATGCAGCAGGTAAGAGGCTGAATCAGTACCCAGCAATTATGGAATTGGCATGCGCTGCATTGTTTACTCACAGTAATATTCCTACTGGACTTTATTAAAACACCATCTGTTGTCAGGGCAGACAAAGAATCCAAATAGAAATACATAGCAAGACAGAGAGAAAAAGAGAAAATAAGAGCATGCATGTGTGTATCGGAGGGCTGCTACAGGATTCGGTTGCATTTCTAAGAGGCCACGTTTGACCCTGAGGGTTATCTTTTAACATGATATCCCTACTCTCCCAGATTTTTGTTCTGGGTTTCTGCTGCCAGCTAGGCCAAAACAATTTGTGGTCCAAATGAAGTTGGCTGTGTGTGAGTCAGGCTGGGATTGAAGGCAGCGAGTGCATGCGTATGGGTGGAAACCAATCACATTAGCATGACTGCAAATTAAAACCAAAATGATGCAAAGTCAAGTCCTCCTACTGAATGATGCTCGGAGTAAACTTCTGAGTTCATGTCCAGAATATAGGCTGAGTAATAAAGGATATCTGCCAATAATAATAATACCTTCAGGGCACAAAGAAAAGTGACTGTTTTTTACAATCAGCTGTTTTCTGTCACTGTTTTGAATCCTGCAGATGGGGATCAGATATTTCTAATACACAGCTGGTCTCTGCAAGTGGCCAAGTGTAATTTTTCATACACCCACAGACCATTCCAGGTGAAATTAATTAGTCAGAATTCCTCATCACAAAATACACGAATAAAATGTGATGCAAGTAATTAAATATGCAAATACAAGAACGACGGCATTAAAACTCTGATATGTCATTTCAATTCTTCTAATAGACATCTGTCTATTCGGAACTTCAGTGCAGAACAAAATCAGAAACAAAACAAACCTTAAAATAAAAAGTGTAAACAAGTCCCAATGCATGTGGCAAAATGCAAGCTGCAGGAAAATGAATCTAAAACAAGCACTGAATACTTTCCTGGTAAAAGAGTTGGCTCAGCTCAAATATATATTCAAATATTACGGAGCAAACGAATTAGGAGCATTTGGAGAAGCCAAGGGGAAAGCTCATGCAGTGTATGATGTCATCGTCTGCTTTGCCTGACATTCAGACCCCTGATATTCTTGCCAGAATATGAGCAGGCATTCTAATTTACAGAAACGCTGTTTACCACTTTGCAAGCCATACCAATATTTACAGAGAATTCAGTGAATGAATGAAAAGAAACAGCTGCGACTCCTTCCACCTCATTGCCCGTTTCATCTCTAACTCTCCTCCTCTGTACTGTCTTATTTATAGTCATTTTGTTGAGCGATGGATGGGGTTTGGCAGCACTCAGTACACTGATGCCTGTTTGTTAAACACATCACTATTCCTGCTATGGATTTTCCCTTTCCTAAGTGTGTTTTATAGAGAATACCATGATTGACTGACTATATTCCGCATTTATATTTTAATAGGCTTCAAAATGCATGAATACCCCAATTATGTACTTTTTTTCCCTAAAACTGCTTATATGGTGGTTTTAAGGCTGTTCCTAATACTGTAATTTATACTCACTGATGATATTTTGCTGTTTGATAATGTATGTGTGCTATAGTATAAGTTACTACAAAAAAAATTTCTAAAAAATAAAAAGACACTATTCTTTCCTTCAGGGAGCTTAAAATTTAGTTGGGGAAATCACATATGTGCCGTAACAACAGAAGGCAATATTAAGTTATAAGTGATGAATATTACCATGTAAAGCCAACTAGCAGAAATGCAGAAACTCAGAGGAAGAAGCAACCAGCGAAAGAGTTATTTTTCATAAGCTCTAGCCTGTGAAAGTTAAAAAGACTATGAATAGGTCAAGAGCAAAGAACAGAGCAGGGTGTTTAGGGAACACTAAACTAGGTTCTTGGGCCAGAACAGCAAAGGCAATGATGATTTCATAAGAAACACTTTTCAAGAGGCCCGTGGTTTATTCCACCCTGCCCAAGGACACCAACCTACCAGAGAACATGGTCAAGACATTCATGAAGGAGAAAGGAATAGAATCTCTGGAAAAATATGTTTAGCCTCAATCAAATTTAGATGTTCAGCCTTGCCTGCAAAAAGGCTATATAAACATTTGAGGACCAAGGGTTACTAGGAAAGAATAAAGTGGTGAATTGATTGTAGTAATTGAAAATATTTGAATAATGAGGATACCTTGCAGGACCTCAATGCCCTTGTTCTAAATTTGCTCCTGCTATATCAGAAGAATTTTGTTTAGATCCTCCACTAACTCCTGGAACAAACCAAATGAGCATGCATATTTGATGGTTACAATAACCTGGGCTAGAAAAAGTGAGCTCCATACTCAGGGCATCAGAATGATAGATGCTGAGCGTCAGCCAGGGTTGAAAGGAAGGAGACTGAGGTCAAAGACAAATACAACAACTGTCTCTGTATTAGGTCTGAGGGTGAAACCAAACCATAGATTAAATAAATGCATTGCAAGGTGTAAAGGCAGGAAGAACTGGAATAGGTGAAGCGATGAGGTGCCAGCGGCACATGTGAGTAGACTGAGAATAGAGGCTGTCTTAGTTCATTTTGTGCTGCAATAACAGAAGACCACAGACTGGGTCGTTTATGAAAAAAAAAAATCTAATTTTTTCCACTTCTGGAGGCTAGGAAGCCCAAGGTCAGAGAGCGGCAGCTGGTAAAGGCCTCCTTTCTACATCATCCCATAGTAGGAGGTGGAAGGACAAGAGAGCAGAAGAGAAAGAATGAGCATGAGAGGGCTGAACTCACTTTTATTCAGGAACCCCTTCCTGAGATAACTAACCCACTCCCTCAATGATGACATTAATCCATTCATGAGGATGGACCCTGCATGCTCTAATCATCCCATAATGGGCCCATCTCTTACTACCATCACAATGGCAATCAAATTTCAATATGGGTTCTGGATGGGACATGCAAAAAACAGCAGACGCCATGGACATTATAGGGTTATCTGAGCCCTGGCTTTATGTGGTGCTAAGTAGGGGCCCAGGCACAGGCTGTCCAGGAAAGGAAGACAGAAGAGAGAAAACTAAATTGCCATTTTGCCATTTTACCCGAGAGTATACATTTTATTAAAGACTTTCTTCTCATCCTGATACAAATTGATTCCATTTAAATAAAAGCATGACTTTAAATTATATCACCATTAACTTCACGTCTTTAAATTATATCATTAGTAGCTTAATTAACAGGAAAAGTTGACAAATTGATAACTATCTACATGGAATGATTCGAGATTGAAAGATATTTTCTTCATAAACTATTCCCAAAGAACTATTTCTACAAGGTAATATTTAGCCCATCTGTTTTTTGTTTTTGTTTTTTGTTTTTTGTTTTTTTTGAGAAAGAGTATTGCTCTGTCGCCCAGGCTGGAATGCAGTGGCGCGATCTCGGCTCACTGCAAGCTCCGCCTCCCGGGTTCACGCCATTCTCCTGCCTCAGCCTCCCAAGTAGCTGGGACTACAGGTGCCCGCCACCATGCCCAGCTAATTTTTTGTACTTTTAGTAGAGACGGGGTTTCACCGTGTTAGCCAGGATGGTCTCGATCTCCTGACCTTGTGATCCGCCCACCTTGGCCTCCCAAAGTGCTGGGATTACAGGCATGAGCCACCACACCCGGCCTATTTAGCCCATGTTTTACCTTCATTTTCCCAAGTATTCCTAACCCTGCCTCACTGGAAAATTCTATGGGAATAAGCTTCTGGTTTAGAGATTATGCTGGAAAAATAAGAAATATCTCCTTGTCCCTTTGTCATCACAGTCCTTCCTTCCATCCACCATATGCCAAATGTGGATCTCTTCTCTGGAGCTGATGTCTTCACATGTAGGCCATTGGTTTTTGCCATTCATTCAAGACATACACATGGAAATGTCTGTGGTTTTTATGGAAAAATAGCTATGCAAACAACTGGAACATTCTATTTGGGATCATTTCCCCATTCTCAATGTTTCATGTTTTACACACACAGACGTACACACACACACACACACACACACACACACACACATACTGCCCTGTGGTTTTTAACCCTTGGTCAAAACCAAAACAGAGTCCATAAATTCAACAAGGTTGTCTCTGGTCCCCAACTGTGCTGTCAAGTAGCCCAAATAGTACTACGGAAATGATAACCCTAGGCTGTCACCACACATACTCCCCTGTCACTGCAGACCTGGCTGGGTCCCTTGGGTGAGAAGATTTGGAAATAGTAGAATAAAAATATCCTAAGGCTTGTGTTTATACCACAGAATAGAAAGTTAAGAGAGCCTTTAGGGAAGCTCTTCATGGCCCTTTCTATCTTGAATTGCACAATACATTTCTTCTCTATAAAGCTGGTCCCCAGGAGGTGAAGCAGGACCTTGGCATTATATAAATATTGACAGGAAGAATGCAACTGCAGGCTTTCCACAGGCACTCCTTGTTGTGTTGAAATGCCAAGAGCCTCCAAATACAGATAGAACCTTCCTTTCTTTTGCTCTTTTTCCAATGGTAACAATAAGTATTTAAGGCACAGATCTCCATGGAGTCTCAATACAGGGACACTGGATTGAAACATCTAGTGTTGATGAACTGATAAGTGGTAAAGTCTAACACTTTAGCACACAAGTTGGGACTATTACGGAGCAGAATAGCTGTCATGAAGACAGACATCTTAGGGGTCTCCTCACTGAATAGTTGCTAAGAAGTTAGTGACAGCTGCTAGGAGAAGCTTTCAGATCTAGCTAAAAGGAATTAGAGTCTGTCTTTATATTTTAAAAGCTTGAATACTAAAACTGGAATCCTGGCACGGCAAGGAATCTAGTTTTGCAGTTACTGCCAGCAAGGAACATGCTCTGGTTGTCTTCCAGGTACATGCATAGTGAAATTAAGGGAGTTTTCCTGCTGAAGGAGAAGTGTTTGAGACAAGAATGATATGGTTTGGCTCTGTGTCCCCACCCAAATCTCATCTCAAATTGTAATCTTCATAATTCCCACGTGTTAGGG